CTCTTTAACATGCAGCTAAAATCTAAGGTTAGATATAGAAAATCAGCTTTCAAGGAATGCTTATTTCAGAATATCAATGAAGGGATAAATATTTGCTTTCCAAGAAAGCTTAATTAATCCTCATTAATGTAAATGATTTGAGTATGTGCTACGTGTGAGAAATTTCCCCCTTCAGTGTTTCTCTGCTGAGTCTTATTAACTCCTGACCTACTGTAAGATCCAAGTGCAAATAATGTCATTTCAAAGATGATTCAACGGAGTTGTTATTTCTTCCCTTGAAGAGTTGTTATTTCTTCCCTTTCTTACCAGTGCATTATAAATAGCAGTTCTTCATTTTTCTGATGTCACTCTTAACTATTGTGGACCCCACAGTCCTTTTGCTTACTAAATGTGTACTCATGAGAGAGAGTTTAAAAGGTCAGTAATGTCTAGATATAATTATGTAAAAGAAGTTTCATCTTGCGGATACCCTGAAAAAGTCCCAGCAACCTCTGGGTGTCCCTGGACCACACTTTTAAGAATCATTACATTGTAACACTTTAGAAATAATACATGGTTACTAAAAAAAAAGTGTCTTATATTTTCCAGTTTATCTGTGTATGAAAGTTAACACTTTAACAAAAATAACTATTTGTGTGTTGGCAGAACTTACAAGGAAAATTGGAAAAGAGCTGCATTGAACAAAGATATAGCTGATGAAGTCAGTTGGTTTTGCCGTCAGACACCAGTTATCCTTCTGTGCTGCCCTTCTCCCTGTAGACATTTTCAGTGGCCGCCCTCATTTCCCAAATCAACTCACGAGTGAGACCCTCTTCCCCACGATTTCAGTAGCATAAAAAAATAAAGTGCTATGGATGAAGGGAATGTACCCAGTACCCCTCCCCTGCTTCTCCAGCTGGGAAGGGAAGGAAAGGGAAATAAAATTTAATGAGCACTTTTACTATGTGCCAGGTGCTTTACATACGTTATTTTATTTTAATCCCAGAACAACCCTAGGAGGTACTTCTAGCCACATTTGGCACACAAATAGAACAAGACTCAGAGATGTTAGATAATAACATGTCCAGAACACTCAGCATTTAAGTGACAGAACCTGAACCCAGTCAAAGTCTCTCAGTTACCAAGTCCTGTACAATACTGTGCCTCGGTGTTTGCTTCGTTTTTCTTGAGTTCCTACAGATTGATAATGTGAGCATTAAGGTTTCATTGGGTTCTTTGGTGACATGATGATAAAAACAGTGTAACTGCCCAGTGAGGTTTGTGCTCAGGGGATTAACAGTCTTTGACAGATTATATTTTGTGAAGTCAAATAAATATATTTACAAGAAAAGGTTTAGATGATTTCTTTGGTTTTAGTTCTTTGAAAAAAGAAGAGTTAATTATCCATGTTTTATCATAGAGTGGAAGATTGCCTCTTTTTGTGTCCTCAGTTCTGTCATGCACAACAGCTAACTATCCCAGAGGAGATTTTGCCTAAAACAGCTGGTCGTCATCATTTGTCAGAATTCCAGAAAGGCAAAATCCGTGCCCAGGAACATTATTATATTTCAAGTCACCCAGTACCTAAGAGATGAGACTAGTTGGGGGTGAATAGGAGGGTGTGGGGTAAAGATGTCTTACAGCCATTTAGGGATTGTTGAAGGAGGAATATTCTCCTTGGTTCTCCTATGTGTTCTCTGGTATGTTATGATGGTATGAGTTAGGACACACAGAGTGTGAATGAGTGGAATTTCAAAAGTGACTCAAGCGGGAGAAGCCAAAATACATGCTATACCATTATACCATCCTGACGTAAGGCTTAATGGAATTCCTATATATTAACTCAATATTTCATAGTCTTAAAAAGTAATATACCAGTTGTCCTTTAAGTCTGTATGTAATTTTCCTGTATTTAAAATAAAACTTCTCATGTCTAGGAACATCAGTCATCCCAACCTAAAAGTAAGGGGGACATCTCCCTCCCCACCAAAACAAATAGGTTTCTAAATATTAAATCCTTGTCACAAGGCTAGTCAAATTAGAGGTGCAGCTGACCGAGGGGGCAAAAAATTTGCTGTGCAAAAGGGTAGCAGTATGGGAGAGGAGTCATTGTGGTAGCTGATAATGGAGAAAAGTACCAAAAAGACCCACAGAAAGAGTACTGCCACCTGCAGTTGTCCGTTACAGGGAGCGCTGCTCCACTCACTTGGTAACATGCTGAATGGTCAGCTAAATAGGACAGCAGGGTAGAACTTACAACACAGAAATATTTCCAAAAAAAAATGTTTAGAATTCTTAAATGAGTTTGGGTACATGAAAGATAATCTAGAATTACTTGGAAAATGAATATTTATGAAACTCCTTAATGTCTGATGATATCAGATTAATGAGGTGTTACTCTGTAAGACATGTATATGTTTATTTGTGTTCTCATATTTCTTAAATTGTTTGGCAGTCAAAATATTTTATAGTTTGCTTTTTAAGAAATTTTACAAGAGTAGTAAATGTTTAATGTAATGAAATTGAATGATAAATTGTATGTGGGATCAGAATTCAATATACTTCCTTCTGACATGTACAGATCACATGAATGAAAAAGTAATTTTTGCAGAACTTTTTGAGGGCTTCGTTAGGTTTCCTAAGGGCCTCTTCTTTGATAGTTAAATCAGTCTCTTGAAGTACCTATTAAGTTATCCTTAATGACTATTTAAATACTAACTAGCCTAACTCTTGGATCTTCAGTTGTCTTGGCTTTGTCTGTGTGTGATTAGGGGAGTTCTCCAGTATCACTTTCGTGGAGAGACAAAGATGTTGACTTGGTGATCAAGAACAGACATGATAGTGTTAACATGAGAGAGATGAATTTTATAAATGGGCTATTTATGGTAACTTGTTTTCCTGTAGTAATAACTGGTTTCTTTGTACACACATATATGTGACAGGTAAAAAACAGATTCCTTGCACTAAATGTTCAGTATGTATAGCCTTGGGAATTGTCTGGACTCTCTCTTATGATCCATTGATTTTTTTTTTTTTTTTTTTTGGTCTTAGTCTGTGCCTGTCCTAGTTATTGTATACTTACAGTACATCTGTTATATATAATAAGGCAAGATTGTCCTTTTCATTTTTGAAATTTTCTTGGGTATTTACTTTATCCAAGAAAAACACAAGGAAAATACATTAAAAATTTATTTTATAAGATTACATTTGCTATGTATCTTTTCTTTAATTGTGGTTTTTTTTAAAAAAAATAAAACAAAACTTCTTGACTAAAGGAGATAAAGGAGACTGGAATATTCATCTTAAACTCTGGAAGAAAACCTAAGCTCTAAGCCCTGAGTAGAGCATCGTCCTGATATGCAGAGGTTGCAGGTTTGATATCCAATCAGGGCACATACAAGGATCATCCAGTGAGTGCGTAAATAAGTAGAACAACAAATTGATGTTTCTCTCTCTTTCTCTTTCTCCCTCTCTCTAAAATCAATTAAAAAAAAGACTTGAATTTTAAAAAAAGAAAAAAGAAAACCAAAAGTTTTCTATCATATTACAATTCTCAAAATTTCTCATTGTGAAGCAACAATAGTAACTTGTTTTTAGGAAGTACTTTTAAAGTTGATTAATTTAATAATTATTACAGCACTTTTTCCACTAAATGTTGAATATGAATTATCAAGATCAAATTATATTACCCTGAAAGATTTCTCATAAGTTGAATAGTGTTTCTTCCAACTCTCTGGCCTGATTACCCTCCCTTGAAGAAGACGGCAGTAAGTGGGGTTCAGATGCCCCACATTTGAACTCCAGTTGTCATCTGGCCATCATTCTCATTTTGCATCTCCGCAGCTTCTGACTGGTCCCACATGGTTGAAGATCCTTTGTAAATGAGGGCAAATCTGAAGAAACGGTGGCGAGCTCGATGAATTTTATTCAAGTAGTGTAGGTACTGGAAGGCTGACAGCAAGCCAAAAGCTTTATTTTGTAGCTTCCATTTTCTGTCAGGCACTTGACATTTTTATGTAATGTATTCTAAAGGTTCCCAAACAGATCCCCTTAAGGTTTATCCGTGGCCTCTGAATGTGGCTTTCAGGAAGGAAGATGGAACTGAAATTGAAATGGATGTGCCGAGAAAAATTCAGGATGACCTTCCAGATACATTTAGAGAAGAGTTGTGAGGAGGATTTGTCCTCCTCTGTCCCCTGGCCCAGCAGGCCAGGACTGCCTGGTGACAGTGGTGGGAGGCAGTTTTCATTTGGCTGTATGCTGCAGGTAGTGCTTTCCGAAGAATTGTTGCCTGTGTGGGGTCAGTGTGTCATCATTGGACCATTATTAGCAGTGCCCACAAGGCCATCAGTCAGGGAGATTGTGTAGGATTCCTGTGTGGCTCTCAGGCGAAGTTAGGAGGCCTCTAAAGCCCATCGTCACTTGGTGATTTTGCGTGCCCATGTGTGTGAATGTTTAACAACCTACATCTGTATCAGCTTTAACTCTATATAGTATGAAAGAAAATAGTCGTCGTTAGTTACTTAGATGTGATATACCTGAGATTGGGTGGGCTTTGCAGTTCCAGCAGACACTGCTCATACATGTTGCTATATTGGGGGTATGTTATACATGCTACAGAAAGAATTATTAATTAAAACTTTTTTTTCTGGTCAATATTTGTGAAAGGGAGACCCCTCAGAGTTAGAAAGCTGGTTAAAGGAGACTAGAGGCTACCTGGTAATGATGGCTTATTAGTGTTGTAATCTAACAATTTCCTATAGGAATGAATGGTGATGGTATATGCAATAAGTGCTTTCATATGGCTCTGTAAAATACTTCAGATGTCTGTTGAATACCATTTATTTTTTTACCTGTGGGGTGTGGAGTGGGGTTTGAGTGGCCTGAATGTTTTCACTTGAAAGTAAAAGCTGTCATATTTTTTCTTGGTGCTGTCAAGTACTGCACATTTCAAAGAATTAGAATATTTCATAGCATCTGAATGCAGAAGCTAAACTCTCTCCTCCCTTTCTTTTATTTAGGTTTCCACTTGAGTGGCACAGTGACAGAACCTGCAATACAATCGGAGCCAGAAACTGTTTGCAACGTGGCCATCAGCTTTGATCGTTGCAAGATTACCTCAGTGACCTGCAGCTGTGGAAACAAGGACATATTTTATTGTGCCCATGTTGTGGCACTGTCTTTATACCGTATCCGCAAGCCAGATCAGGTCAAATTGCATCTTCCCATTTCAGAGACTCTCTTTCAAATGAATAGAGACCAACTACAAAAGTTTGTACAGTATTTGATCACAGTACACCACACAGAAGTTTTGCCAACTGCTCAAAAACTAGCAGATGAAATTTTATCCCAGAATTCAGAAATTAACCAAGTTCATGGTGAGTATAGACATTCATTCATTCTATAGATTTCTTCTAGATTCTTTTTTGTTTGTAAGTTTATCTCTTCATAAAAGTGAATTAAATGTGAGTCACTTCATCAGCATTGCTCTTAGGTAGCTGAGGGAATTCTAAGTTTTGTTTTGCATTCGAAAACATTTTCTGAAGAAGTGCTGCACGCATTCTAGCTACCATGCCTTTCATGCTTAGAAAAAGCTCTCATTTGTTAAAGCTTAGCTTTTAGACTTCTCCTTTTAAAATTTTATCACATACTAGATATTAGTTGCGGAAACACTTAGTTAATTCACCCATGTCAGCTGTTATCCGTAAATTGGCCTGTGCATAATCAGAATTCTTTTTTTTATTTTCTTAAAAATTTTATTTTCCAAGGCAGGAAGTTTTTGACAGGATGCCTCCAATTAAGAAAATAAACTATTCTAGCCCTGGCCAGCAAGCTCAGTTGGTTAGGGCATTGTCCCGATACTCCAAGGTTGCGGGTTCAATCCCTGGTCAGGGCACATGCAGGAGACACCAGTGGGTGTGTGAGTGGGCCAAACAACAGAGCAATGTCTATCTCTCTGGTATCAATAGATAAATTTTTTAAAATTCTAAATAAATAAATGCTTAATAAAAGAAATTATTCTTAGGAAAATATTACAACTTGTTTAAAGAGATTAGGATATGGCTCTCATATATAAGAAATCCCTAAAGATTTTCTTCTAAATCTTTCATACATTCAACACATTATCTCATTTATTTGTAAACACATTTACCAAGTATGCATTGCAAATATGCATACATATATTCTTGACTCACAAGAATATATGTGCAGCTTCTCAGAAATGGACACATGGTCTTTTTCATTTAGTACATTAGTACAGGATAAATAGTATTGTTAAATTATAGGTTTCTGTGTTTTTAAAACATTTATACATTTCTTGATTTTTAAAAGTAAGTTGAAGAATGTGATAATCTTGACTAAGCAGCTCAGGGGCCTAACATTTTTACGTTCCTTTAGTTATATTGATTTGAGATACAGAGCCAGTCAGTACTCTGTTGTTTTAGGTTTTCTTCAAATTCATTTCTTAGTATAGCAAATAGAAATGTTGAAGGAAAGCAGTTAGAGATTATTTCTTTTCTCTCTCTCTCCCCCCCCCCCCCCATCTCTCTCTTTCTCTCTCTCTCTCAGCTGGGGATAGTGAAACAAGGAAGGACTTAGGATAGAAGAAGCAACATGAGAGAGCTCAGGAGGAGCTGTTTTGGCTTTCTAGAAACCGTACAGGAAAAAAGAACCAAAGCAGGGCTGCTGTCAGCTCACTGGAGAGTCAGAGAAAAGGGAGCCTTGGGGACAGGTTCAGGGGGTTAGCCTTGATGAGCTGCTGCTGCCCACTGCTCTTCCAGTTGCAAATCTCAGGGCGTCCCTTATAGTTTAGGAAATGCCTGCCCATGGGGGAAGGAGAGAGGGAAGGGAAAGGTGCTGGTGTGCTCCCAAGAGGGACCACGAGCCTGAAGATGATTTCTTTCTTTCTTTTCTTTTTTTAGGTTTTATTTATTTTTAGAGAGAGGGGAAGGGAGAGAGACTGACGGGGAGAGTTGCCTCTAGCATGTCCCCAACTGTGGACCTAGCCTACAACCTACGCATATGCCCTAACTGGGAATTGAACTGGTGACCTTTCAGTTCACAGGCCTGCACCCAGGAAACTGAGCCACACCATCCAGGGATGGAGATATTTCTTAAAAACATTAAATTGCGGGATATAATTTATGCACAGAAAAGTACATAAAAAAATAAATGTGCAGATTAACAAAGCAAACCAAAATCCAGGCCAAGAAATAGAGCACTCTCAGCACTGTCCAACAAAAATACAGTAAGAGCCACATGTATAATTTAAACTATTCCAATAGCTTTATTTTAAAAGAAACAAGTAAAATTAATTTTAGTATAGGTTTCATTGATCTCAGTATATCCAAAATGTTGATTCAATGTACTCATTAATATCACAATATTAATAAATACCAGTTAAACATCAATATTGATTTTACCCTTTTTTTCCTTATTAATAAGTCTTTGAAATCTAATGTCTGTTTTACACTTATAGCTCATCTCAAATCACACTATAGCCAAGTTCTTAATAGCCACATGTGGCTAGTGACTTACTGGACAGCACAACTCTAGAGTACTCTTGGTATGAGAACACACTATTTATTTGTCCATTCCACTGTTAATGAACCTTGTTTTGAATAGAGCTGCTGTGAGCATTCTTTTACAAGTCTCCTGGTGCCATAAGATATCTTTAACATGGTTTTTATGTCAGGAAAATCCATGTAGTCATATTTCTTCTAATGCTCCCCATATCAGGTTCAGCTTTATAAAAGTAGTTATCTTAAGGTGTATGAAGCATTTTGCTTGGTAGAGTCTGCCAATGTTGAATAACAGGATTGTAAACAACATTGCCACAGAAGTACTTTGGACCCACCCAGAGCATATGCACTCAAGGACTTCTGCAAGCAGGCTACTGCTCTGTCATATCACCTGTCTCAGTCCTCTTGCCTTGTAAAAATTCAGGCCTGCTAACAATCATTTCAGAGATTTCTCATGAGCCTTTTGTGGCTTCTTACTAAATTCTTCAGTGTTGTTCAGCAAAAACAGAGAATAGAATATACATTTCTTCAAACCTGTATGCATTCTCTTATTTTCCTTATTTTTTTCTTAATTCATTAGGGTCACTTTCTTTTTTGAGTTTTAGTTTAACCAGAGGTCTACATCAACAGTTTGTCCTGTATTTGTCTTCCTTGTTTTGAAGGATAGCTCCCAAAGTTTCCTATCTTAAAGCTTTTAAAATCGATCCTATGTTGAAATAGACTCAATGAAATAGCCAGATACAATGTAAACTAAATTTGGATGCAGAATATGTTCTTATGACATTATATTGGAAGAAAAATATATCTAAGGAAATATCCAGGATAGAATGCAGGTTAGCTTTAGGCTCAATGTGATTTTCAAATAACTTTTGTATGAGAATAGCTTCAGAACAACAGTGAACTTGAGCAGTTTGTCCTGCCAGCTTTCTTTTCGCTTAATTTATCATCACATTTGCACCCAGCCTGGAAATGGGCCAATTACATGAGCTGCCTTCCTTCTTGCCTTCATTCTAGTGACAAGTAGTTAAAAAACGGAAGGAAGGAAGAAAGAAAGAAAAAAAAAAGGAGAGGTAGGAAGCAGGCCATGACCTTAAGTGATGAAATGGGAAATCTGCTCCCTGGAGGGTCTTATTTTAACTGTTAGATTAATGACTTAATAGGGGGTGGGATTAAAAATGTTTTTCAGTTATTTGGCTACATGGTCCCCCTGCCTTCAAACATCTATATATAAAGCATTCTTTAAACCATTTTTTATAGCAGTACTTTTTTGTATACTTTTGTGAGTGTATTTTTTCTTTAAGAAATATGTCTTGACTGAATTTTAGGAAGAGTTAATTTTTCTCTTAAGGAAAAGCATCACTTTTCTTTTGCTAGATAAATATTAGGATAGGATTTAGATTTGATTGTCTTAGTAGGCATCTTAAAGACAGTGAGGTTTAGCTTATCCAAATGTTTTTTAAAGAAAGTCATAATATACTTTATAAGTGATTACAAATTATGTGGATAGTAGGTTTTCCTTTTTCCTGGTGAACTTATCCTAATGCTTTTTAAAATTGCTTTCCATTATTTTGAATATTTTATTTTTAAAAGAATTTTATCCTGAGGAATTGAAAGCTTCTTCAAGTCTATTTCAGGCACATTGTTCCTCACAATTTCCTTTAAATGTAGACATTGGGAATTTGTAATTGCAGTAGTTTTCTAGATGGAGAAACCAAGAATGGGTTAGTGACTTATCCAAAGTCACAGATTCAGCAAAGGTGGTTGGAGTGTAGATTTAGTCACCATAATAGTTTAGTCCTTGTCAGTAGACATTTTTACATTTGATTGTGTTTTTATAACATTTTCTATGTAACTTTGATTAGATTATAAAATTGGCTGCTATATGCTAAATAGTGGCTGTAAGATAGTTAGTGGCCTTCTAAGGAGATTGCCAGTTATAGTTTTGCATTTTTTAAGTGAAATTGTTTGCTTTTGTTTTTATATTCTAATATAACTTTCCAGCTTCCATACTCTTAAAAAAGAGGCTGGTGTCTTTGCTAAGTACTTATTTAGAAATGTACTGATTTCCAAGTACTAACCCACTCTCTCAGTTAATTCATCTCAGTCTTTTCTGGTTCTTTATGCATACTATTAGAGGGGATTCATATAGATTAGTAAATTGTGGTGTGGGGACAGAACATTGAACTTGAAATCTGGAAGCCCGGAGTTCTGGATTGTCTTTGCTCTGTATTACCTATATGACCTTGGGTAAGACTAATTTTTTTCTCATATTTGTAATGCTTATTACGTTCCCTAACAGTGTTGGGAGAATTTTAATGATATAACGTATACATGTATAATAATAATAAATAACTGAATTTACCTCTTGTTGGGATTTCTAGAAGTACTCACAGTTAGAAGAGAGAAGAAACCAGCTGGGGGGATGGAATTAGAATTGGAGGTCAGCTTGCTTCTCTCTGACTTTCTGGCATGTTTCCTTTTCTGCTTTCTCTCTTGTGCAACCTCTTTATAAGCTAGTCTGTATTGGGCAGACTACAGCAAAGAGGGCAGACTGAGGAGAAGCTGTGACATTGGTCTCAACTTTGAACAGTGGGAAGAGGGGGTCATTTTAGTGGCCCTTTCACTCCCAAGGCCTAGCCAATCCCAAAAATAGGCTAGACTCATCCCTCATTGCCATGTGCCCAGAGATACCATCTTAGTCAGCCAGATGTCAAAAGGGTGTATTTCAATGTCCATGAGAGTTGACACATGACATATAAGATCCTGTCCACCTCCGATTCTGTGACTCTTTGGCTGTATTTCTGCAGAAACCCAGGAAGCATTTAGTGTCCATACTACAAAGGTGTACCTCCTGTACT